CGAAACCCAGCCTGCTCCTCACGCATAGTGTACAATCGGCGGAGAATGACCGACGCCAACAGCTTTGACGCTATAGGGATAAGGTTTATACCCCGACGATTGGCATACAGCCACCGAACCTCTAACAAGCTTTATTCCACCATCTGAAAATAGAGCTGGGGTAAGACCATCGGAGCTCGGCGATTTGTGACGTACCAAGATTCGGAGCTCCTTAAGGATTTCCGCCTCAGATGGGTCTGTTGAGACAGACTATGGGACATGAGCCGGAATAACTGTGTGAGAAGCTGACGCTGGTGGCAAGCTAAACTGTGCCTCAAAGTGCTCTGCCCATAGTGTAAGACGTTGCTATTGATTATGAATGGTCGCGCCGTCAGTTTCGCAGGTCGTTTCGCTCACACCCAAATCTTTCCTAAGGGTGACCAGGGTGAGATGGAACAGCTTAAAGGAGTTTCCCATGCCGGCGGCACGTTTCATCTCTGATGCGCGTTGAGTTTACCAAATTTCACGATCTGTGCGTAGACTTGCGCAGCGATTACATCTCGTTACGAGTCGTATTTCATTATGCCATTCGGGATTAGTCGGCGGCATCGAAAAGGCGTAGAGAGTTCGCTGAAATCCAGGATGTCACGGCATGACGTGTCAGACCACAATTAACTAAGCCGACAAAATGCAGAGCATTTGAAGAGCAATCGAACAATTTTATTCAACTTCTATGGTCCGAATAAAGCGACTAGAATATCGGATACAGTGGTTCTCAGGAAAATTCACCCACTATAGTCTAGGCAGCAAATGATGGAAATTTTTTCATAAAAACTGCAGTATGGTGATTTGTTTGCCACAGTCTGAACTCTGACGAGTGCGAATATATATACACACTTCAAATTGTACCAAGCAACTTACGGCATTTCAATCTTTATGACAATGCAATTAGTTCGTGATTTACACGGGGTGAATGGGAGNAATGGGAGAAAAAGATCAACATGATTCTACTTCGTGCGCGATGTGCCAAACAGAAATGAACTAACCGTTTGCAAAACGGCGCGCGAGGTGGACCGAAGTGCCTGGACAATGTGTTGATTGGTCCCTTTTGCCTTATTCAAACAAGCGCTTAGTGTGCGTTCTGCATAGGCCGCGTAATTTGAACCCAAACCGCTGACTAGTTGTTCAATCACGTTTGCGGCGCGTACAACCAACGCGTTATGCTTGTCAGTTTCTAACACCTGAAATTGAAGTGACATAGGAATTTAGAAAAATGACAGTGCAACAAGATCGTTTGGTTATTTATCGAGTAAAACAGATTACCATGTGGATAAAACCAACCATATAAACGAGAAAAGTTATCTTCAAAGTAAAGTGGAAGGAATAAAGTGTGTCGATGTGAATCGAAGTCCGGTATCGAGACTAGAAAGAGATCACCGAAATATTGCGATGTTTGAACCAACAGACTTCCCCAAGCTATTAATCCACGTAACTTAAATGCAACCAGTCTTTCGTCGCGACCCTGACTGAAGAAGCCGAAACATTGATCTCTCTGAGAAAGGGATGAAACAAGTATGGCGATGGATCGGTTTCGTGGTTTCCGACAGACTGGTTGTGCTTACAACAATGAGGTATGAAAGAAATTCTGTCGTTTTCTAAAGGGTTATCTGAAAATTAATTTGTGATTTACTTGTAGTTCTGAACACAGAATGAACATAGTTGCTCAGACGGTTTACAGACGGAAAAAAAGGAGATCGACCACAGTCTCTTCAAAATCGCTACTGAAAATGTTAGGTGACCGACCGTAATTGTAAATTCATTCAACAGGATCAATAAAGCCCTCCTTGAATAGCAATCAGGAATATAACCATAGGATTCATTCACAAATGACGAGCGACGGTAGCACAACGGAGATGTCAGGGTTCGTTCTCAAGGTTTGAGCGATGTACTCTTATAAAACCCTCAGTTTCCGAGGCAATAACCGAATTAGGTTTTCTCAACGCCTATATTTGTTCTGTTTGGTACAAATAGGAGACGGTGAGTGCGTTTAGCACACTGAAGAAAGGCATCGTGCGTCACTGGTGTCTCGATCGCAAACTCGTTGTCAGAACAATGATGAATGAATAGATCTGGCTGGCTATGTAACGCATCGGGCCCTCTTTGTAGCAGCCGCTTCAGAACAGTGCACAATGTATAACTACATAAATAGATTACAAACAAAAATATAAGCATCTCTAATTTTCCGAAATGGTTGGTTGGATAACCTGAACCACATGGCAGTGAACCAACATCATCATTATATTATAGCGGAATACCGTGAAACGAACTTCATGATCACTGCCAAACGCATTATGCATACGAGGTAAGTGAGAATAAATTACGTGGATAAAGATTGGGTTTATTATTTAGGAGGGAGGAAGAAACTCAATCTCTATAGTCAATACAACGAGTACACAGTCCAATAAGGCATAGACACTACTCCAACCATTCTGATCTGATGATAAATGAGAACAAGAACGCCACTGTTGTCGGTTTACCGCCATGTCCTTCAGTGTTTCCGATCATCCAGTTACGGAGTCTTTTGGACCCCAACCCGGAAGACGAGAGATACCTACTCTATCTAATCGCTCTGTGCATGTCTTCATGCCTCGTCTCCACGTCATCTGCTGGCCTCCATGTGGCTTTCTCCAGCCTGCAATAGCCACTGCAAATAAGGCGCACTGCGGTAGGCGACCGTCGAACATACGCAAAATGTGTCTTAACCAACGGAGCCTATTGAGCTGAATTCGTTGCGATAGCCAGTTCTTCCTCGGTGAATTACTTCTAGGTTACTAATCCGCTCAATCCAACCCATCTCGACCAAACTACGCAAGCATCGATTTTCGAAAACCACTTTGGCAACCGATGTCTTATATCCGCAAATTTAAGGTCTCACAACCGTAAGGCAAAACTTATCGTACAGTGGCGCATGATAAGCGACTCTTCAACTACAGTGAAAAGTCACGTCGTCGCCACAGGTGTTTAACTCCTGCGTACGATGCTGGAGCCTTGGAAAGTGGGACGGTTATCTCCTTTGATGCGCTACTGTCATTGGTCACGCAGCTACTCAAGTAAGAGAAGCGGTCAAATTCAGCTAATTATGGACCGTATGGTTTCAGAACAGAACTCGGCGACACCCAGTCTTGCAGCATCATTTTGCACTTTGAAGGTGCAAAGAGCATGTCGAACGGAGCGGCAGAACTTTCTTATCTGTCAAGTGCTCTTTGCGCATCCTCCATACATTCGAACAGACAAACGATGTCATCAGCGTACTTTATATCGCAGCTTTTCTCCAGCTGTCCATTCAATACCAACATTTTGGAGACTATTTAGTGTGTTCTCCAGTATTTTGTCTATAATGAAATTGAACAAGGATAGCGAACTAGGGCACCGTTGACGAACACTGCTGCTAGTTTCGAACGACCTACTACGCTCACCGCATCCCCACGTTACCAGAAATATGTAGCAATCAACGGCGAAGAAGCGGTCAACTGAGTTGAAGGCTCCTTTTAAATCAAGGAACGACAACCGTTGTCGACGGTGTGTATGGCGTAGTTCGAGGACTTGACGCAGAGAGATCGATACAACCGAGACCTGGTCGAAATCCTACTTGTTGCTAACGGATATTTGTCTCCCTGAAGGGTATCAGACGTCAAAGTGTGCCCTAGTTCTGCTTCAAAATGGACACGAACGGCAGGGTCAGATAAACGATGATCTGCCAATCGAGTTTAGTGGGATTTTCTGCGACCAATGAGTTGAAGAGTGAACTGTGTCAACGCAGGTGATCCAATAGGATCAGCAGTTTTGTACTGAGTCACGCGGGAGGTAGATTACTGCTATTTTGTCGATTTGAGGTAGCGTATCAGTTGAATTGGGGCGCCACGTTGCTGTCCGTTGAGAGTTGTGTCGGAAGTTGGATAAGAAGAGATGATGATCTGCGCAGAACTGAAGAAGTCGATCGTCGTTATCCGTTCGCTGGCAAGGCAGAGCAAAATGATCATCTAGACAAGCTTCCGATGCGCTCAGTTTTCTAACTTGTGCATTAAAGTCACCTGCAAGAACAACTATATCAGAGCTTCGGCTGAACCAAATGAGTTCGGCGAGTTTATCGTAAAACTCGTTCTTTTGTGCCCCAAAACTACATTTGGTCGGTGCATATGCTGTAATAATGAATAAACACCTTTTCGTGTTCCTTCCCTTTCGGACACTGTGGACCCTTAGGGCCGCATCGCACAGAAGCGACTGTTGACGGCGATCCAATCGAGTAATGACGCTTTGGCTGTATTAGTGAGTAAAACGCCTACTCCAGACTGGCCTACTGAACGGGCTTCCTCGTCACCTGACGTGCGAAGGAAGTACCTCGAAGACAGCCCCGGTGCACTTAATTGGCTTATAGTACTAGGATCCTGGATTGGCGTCTCCGATACGCAGCAGACATCAGTTCCAAAAGAGTCTATTGTACGCGCCAGACACGGTTGTTGTATACTACTCTATTATACTTACTCTACGGCGGCTGGCTCTATTATACTGCTAACTAAGAGGCAACTCGAGTTGAACCCCCAACCTGGAGCACTAGGAGACTGAAGTTTGTCTGTAACTTCCGCGCTTCCAAGTGTGATTAGGTCTTCGGCTTAACAAAAGCCATTCTGTATGATTTGTTTGGTCGCAAAAGTGCACAAGCCATCACACAACGTCAAGGTACAAACTGACAGCAGTGATGTTACTGTTTTCATTTCCGTTACTCGCCCGGACTGTTACAGAAGGTGCGCAGACAGATTTTTCTCTCTCACGCTGTGTGGTTCACTTCATTGTGGCAGTCATTAAATGGACCATTTTCTAATCAACCGCAAACATCCATATTCATTTTGTTCATTCTGTGAGCTTGCTAGTAATCATAAATGTTCACCTCGCATTATTTGACTGCACAATGATGTGTCATCTGCATGAAAAACCCTAGCATTGATAATCTAGCTCATGCCAAACTTAGCAGCAATCAACGAGTCAAAGAAATTGTTGTGCCTAAGCCAGAAAAATGGATCAATGAATAAAAATGTTGGAACAAGTTTCAGTAAAACGTGATGAAATCCATCAACAAAAGTTTTGAGTGATACTGTACCTGTAATAGGGCCTTGGCAACGGAACTATAATTGCCTGGTGGTAAATTCGGGCTTGTAATACATCGGGAAATATAATCCAGTGTCTCGCCACGTTCCCGCCACTGTGATGACTCCTTCGGCAAAAAAAACAATCAATGGGTGAAGAGGAATGAGAAAATGAGAAAGTGTTGAATAAAAATCGCAATGTATTGAATGGTTGTGCTACAGGTATGCTGTAGTTGATGGGTAATCGAGATCGACACTATACGAGCTGTTCCGAATTGGGAAAACGTGTAGTAATACATACACATATTGAATTGAAACGATAATTCTGAACAGAAATTTATAATCTTTATCCTCCATGGCTTTATTTTCCACCGAAACATCAATCTCTCCCTCATCAGACTCTATTCATCTTCAGTTCCCAAACTACTTTTTTCTCAAAACTAGTTCCTGCCTCCAATATCCACTATTCTTTCGGTTCTTCCCGACTTTTACACCTCAATTTCTACAACCGGGAATTCCAGCTTATATGGCTCGAACTTCGGCTTTTTTCTTTCAACTATTATTTTCGTACCACTAACCGCTCCACGACCGGCAATAATCCTTCCATCTTTGATATTCTATCTTCCAACATCGAGACATTACTGGTGGTAAATCCCAAAAGCCAAATTGCCATTGTAGGAAATTTCAATGTCCACAACAAGGAATGGTGGATATACTCCTGACACTTCGTTCATGGGCCGCGAAGCCAAGGTTTTCGCTAAGGTTGACAACCTGAGTCAACTAGTCGAACTTCCCACAGGCAAACCCTCACCAGCACCCTTGACCTTACTCCAGTCTATATGAATTCCCTATTTTTAGTACTCACCGGTATTGCGATGAACAGCAGACGGGATGGATCCCACAGGTACGGGGAGCTGTTGTTGAGTGGTGAAAACCGGTAACCCAAGCCCCGGGACTGGAAGTGGCGAACCACATATGCATGGCATTGAACCGGACGACAGCAAAGCTGCCTACCACCAAAGTTGGGTGGCGGTGGCGAGGCTCGAACCTCGGATATAAGGGTTCAAAGCACGCTGACAACAACAACTAAACCACCGCATAACTCTTAAATCTCCTCT